TGTGTTTTGAAATTATTTGTTCTCCTATATTTCATCTATAAAATGGCAATAAGATTGCCTTCTTCATCTGCTCTATCTTTAAAAATTTTGTTTCAATTTTTACATAATGAACCGTTCATGAATGTGCCTTATAAACTAAAATACTTTAAGACTAATTGTGAAACTACATTAAGCAACATGATGTGGTATTGGCATACAGATTAACTTTAGGTAAATAGAATAAAACAGAGTTTAGAAAGAGATTTTTTATTTACATAGTCAACTGATTTTCACTAAGTTGTCCAGGTAATTAAATGAAGACAGAATAGTCTTTCACAAATTCTGTGGGAAAATTTTTGCATACGAAAAAATAAATACTGTCACTTATTTCACAACATAAACAAAAATCTGTGCTAAAAGAATCATAGATCGACAACTAAAAATTAAAACTATGAATTAGTTTTAGGCTCCTACCTACTGCATGGAGTGGGAGGCCTGGGTCTGCAGCTGCGGTTTGGGTAGCTGCAACTGCTCCTGGGGAGCTTCTACCCCAACACGATAGGGGTGGGGCTCCCACTGGCTCCACGGAGTATGCAACCCCAACTGTGCCTCCCTGCTGCATGCAGCCAGCATGATGGCTGCGACGATCTCTCTGGAGCAGCCACTTCCGTCTTAAGGATGGCTGCAGCAGATTGACCACAAATGGACATAAGGGAGCTTTTCAGGGTGATGGAAATATTCGATGATTTATTTGTGGTTATGTTTACACTGTCACAATATATTTGTCAAAACTCACCAAATTGGACTCTTCAAATTAGTGAATTTTATTGTACAAAATGTATGACTGCTAATATAATTAAATAATATAGATTATAAAAAACAATAAAGAGTTCTGGTACTACCTGTGAGCCAGCTGTGTTTTGAAATTATTCGTTCTCCTATATTTCATCTATAAAATGGCAATAAGATTGCCTTCTTCATCTGCTCTATCTTTAAAAATTTTGTTTCAATTTTTACATAATGAACCGTTCATGAATGTGCCTTATAAACTAAAATACTCCTTTAAACGTGTTTTGATTATTGTGTAATACGAGTAGTCAGACGTTACATGAGTAGTTGAATAAGATACTTTGGGCTATGTTTGTGCTAATGGGAAAAGATGGCTATGTGGCAATCATTCATTTTCCATTTATTTCTCACATTCATAAAACTGTTCTATTACAGCCACAGTCATTATTTTCAAACACCTTCATCTCTGAATGCCTGTCATCATTTCCTTTCCAATTGATTTGAGTTAGGTCCTTGTTTTAAAAAGTTATTCCATTCGTGATCCCATTGGTTGAGAGTACCTGCTGCTTTTCCTAGGTCACCAATAGCTCATCCACGGATTTCCTTTCATTTAGTGAGCAAATGTTGAACCCCTACAGACAGGTAGGCACTGTGCTAGATTCAGGGGATACATAGGGGGATAAAACTTTTTCATGCATTTTTTTTCCACAGAATTGCTTTTACTACACTCCAATTACTTTCCTATTTCACTGCTATAAGCTTTGTTCAAACTTCTGTAGAGAGAGAGGTGGCAGCTACAGGCAGCAATACCAAACACAATTTAAGAAATATGAGTTGTGAAATCATTATCTTCCTATCTTGAAGTTTTTTATGATTTTGCTCATGGTGGATTAATTCAATTCACATTTAAATTAAAATTTGATTTTGTGAAGTAGCAGAACACTTTAGTTTCACATTTATATTGTCACATTACCACATCATTTTAGAGTATGAATCCAGTATTTTTTAGGGTTAAAATTTTTATTTTATTCATTAAATTTTAGACTCAGGTGTACATGTGCAGGTTTGTCAAATGGATGTAACGTGTAATGCTGATATTTGGGATTTCATCAAACCCATCACCCAAGTAGCAAACACAGTACCCAACGGGTAGTTTTTCAACCCTTGCTTCCAGTTTCACCTTCCTTGGAGTCCTCAGTGTCTACTGTTTCCATCCTTATGTATGTGTACTCATTGTTTAGCTTCCACTAATAAGTGAGAACATGTGGTATTTGATTTTCTGTTTCTGTGTTAATTCACTTAGGATAATGACCTGCAGCTGTATCAATGTTGCTGCAAAGACATAATTTCACTTATTTTTCAGGGCTGTGTAATATTCCCTTGTTTATATGTACCATATTTTCTTTATCCAGGCCACATTGATGGTCATCCAGGTTGATTCCATAATTTTGGTATTGTTAATGGTGCTGTGATATACAAATGAGTACAGGTATCTTTTTGGTAGAACAATTTTTTTTTTCTTTTTGGTAGATCAGTAGTGGGATTGCTGGGTCAAATGGCAGTCTTATTTTTGTTGCTCTTTGAGGAATCTCCAAGCTGCTTTCCATAGGGGCTGAACTAATTTACATTTTCACCAACAGTGTATAAGTGTTTCCATTTCTCTGAATCCTCACCAACATGTTATTTTATGACTTTTTAATAGTCATTCTGACTGGTGTGAGATGGTATCTCATTGTGGCTTTAGTCTGCATTTCTCCAACAATTAGTGATGTTGAGCATTTTTCTTTTCATATGTTTGTTGGCCTCATGTATGTCTTCTTTTGAGAAGTCTGTTCATGTCCTTTGTCCACTTTTCAATAGAGTCACTTTTTTCTTGTTGATGTGTTTATGTTGCTTATAGATTCTGGATATTAGTCTTCTGTTGGATGCATAGTTTGCAAATATTTTCTTCCATTCTGTAGGCTGTTTACAATTTTGATGGTTTATTACGGCTGTGCAAAATTTCTATAGTTTAATTAGGTACCAATTGTAAATTTTTGTTTTCATTGCTTTTGCTTTTGAGGTCTTAGTCATACATTCTTTGCCTAGGCAATGTCCAGAAGAATGTTTCCTAGGTTTACTTCTAGGATTTTTATAGTTTGAGGTCTTATATTTAAGTCTTTAATCCATCTTGAGTTACTTTTTGTGTATGCGAGACACACTTTTTGTGTATGCTGGAACACTGTATCTTTATTGGAAAGTGGTGTGTGGCAGATGAATAGACAGAAAAGATAGGGAGTAAGAAATGGGGACTGCAACAATGGGAGCTGCAGAAAACATCACACAAATGTAAATTCATCTTCCACTAGAGGAGAGATAGCTTTAAAGAATAAAAATTTCATTGTATATTCACCTCATTTTAAGATGCATCCTTATATAAGTATCACTTAATCAGAATGGAAAGAAGATTCACCTTCTTTGTGGTAATTGTGTCGCTGGGACATTGGGTAGAAAATGGAGTCTATCCTGGGAAGTGGATATCTTCTCCATCAACCACACTGTGAAGAGGCTGTTCCTAAGGGAGGCAATGCTTAAGGAAAAGGTGATAATTAGATGTAAAGAAAGAAGATAGTTATCTCACTCTGGACCTTTTAAGAGTGACTTCCATATTCTAAGGTAGAAACAGGGCAGAAGGCATTCCTGTTTGTGGCAGACACTCCTGTTTCTAATAAGAAAGAAAGTGCTAATCATCAACCTTATAAAACAGATGTGGATTCACTATCTGTGTTATCTTTTTTCATTATCTCCCAACATTCACTATAACTATGTTAAATTACAATGTTGTCTCAACTATCACTGACCCAGTTCTCCCAGCTTTTACATTTCCCTTCTCTCCAGCAAGTCCTCTCTCACTTTTAATGTAATGTGATTTTTCCTTTATTATTTAAGATGATTCAATTCTGATATAGGAAATAGGAAAAAGAGACAAATGATGATAAATTAGATGTGGAAACAAGTAGCTTGTGAGGTACAGACAGAATTCATGAAAATATTAAGTAAATCAGTAAACTATATTATGGGTTAGGAATAGGTAACATAAGTAAAACAGGTATGCACCAGACGTAGAGACAGAAAGATCAAGTGGTACTTAATATTCATAATACACTGCATATACCTGAGACACATAATACTCCTGATACATAACAAATTCATGAGGCTTATGAAGGCACACAATATTTATGAGTTCTTAAATTGACCAACCATTTGTGACACCTTTCTGACCCTACCTGCGGTCTCCCAAGAGACATAAATAAAATCTACAGCTGCTCATCAGGTTAAAAGATGAACTACATCTTGGCCAGGCATACTTCTGTGTTTCTCTGATAGAACATATCTCGGGACTCAGATAGTACGTCCTTTCTATCTTCCTTGTACTCTATCCTAAGTGGATTATTTTACCTTTTTTCTTTTCCCTTGACCCTCCACTGTGTTTTTAATTGAGTTACTAGTCTATGTTATTTGAAAATCTCTGCTTGGTCAGTGTGTCTTTCTATTCCTTGAACTCTGGGATGTATTTCCTGGGGGTATCATCAGAAGATGACAATGCAGTGAGGTAAATCTTCACATAAGAGCCAACATTCTCCTTATAACACTGCACACAACATTGGGCTCCCTAGAAATAGCAACTGAAATTTACAATGATATCTGTGAGTGCCTGTATTTATCCACAGAGTGAGAAAAATATAAAGAAGAACTTGCCAGAGACTTCCATCTGTCTGCACCCAGAGCCTGCCACATCCTTGCTCCGGTTGGATGGTGCTCATTGAGCATTCTTCTTTGGCTGGCACGTTGTCACCTTCCATACACCTGTGTGGACCCACATATAACAAAATCTCCAATATACCACATGCAATTATTCAGCTTAGCTTTACCACTCAGTTTTACTTTGTCCTTAATCTTATTTTTTTCCCTCTTTGCAACATATAACTGCCTAAATGTTCTTCAACATAAATTGCTTTGTGAATACTTTTCTGTACTTCATTGTCTGTCATGATCTTGCCTAGTGAAGTTAGGCTTCAGTGAGTAACTACTGAAGTGTTACCATCACTGTGTACAAGGCCAAAAAAAAAAAAAAAAAAATACCAGCTGCGGAATAATGCAAAAGCCAAACTTACACAAATAAGCTTTTATTTTATTTTATTTTAGTTGAGTTGAGTTGAGTTTATTTATTTTTGAGATGGAGTCCCATTCTGTTGCCCAGGCTGGAATGCAATGGCACAATCTCGGCTTACTGCAACCTCTGCCTCCCAGGTTCAAGTGATTCTCCTGTCTCATCCTCCTGAGTAGCTGGGATTATAGACATGTGCCACAACACCCAACTAATTTTTGTATTTTTAGTAGAGATGAGGTTTCACCATGTTGGTCAGGCTGGTTTGAATCTCTTGACCTCCTGATCTGCCCACCTCGGCCTCCCAAAGTGCTGGGATTACAGGAGAAGCTTTTCTTTTATCAATTTATTTTGTTTACTCAGATGTGTCTCATTTGGCCCTACAGCAACTTGAACATTTCCAAGTGCTTTAGTGCTACTAAGTGACATTTGAAGCAATTGGTGGCTAAATTTCACAGCCATCTCTTAGACTAATTATTTTCTTTTTCCGTTTACTTACAATTTTCAGTACGATCCTTTTCTCCTCCTCCATCCTTGCCTCTCATCACTTCTAATCACTTCTAAATTTTTTTCTTTCTTTTTTATTCAAAACCCCTATTTCTTTTATTCTTACATCCCTGCCCACTCTTTTTTGCCTTTCAAAATATTGATGTATTTCTTTTCAAATGGGGTTGTGATGGTGAATACTGTCAGCTTGATTGGACTGAAGGATGCAGAGTATTGATCCTGGGTGTATCTGTGAGGGTGTTGCCAAAGGAGATTAACATTTGACTCCATGGGCTGGGGAAGGCAGACCCACCCTCAATCTGGGTGGGCGCCATCTAATCAGCTGCCAGCATGGTCAGTATATAAAACAGGCAGAAAAACATGAAAAGGCGAGACTGGCCTAGCCTCCCAGCCTACATCTTTCTCCCACACTGGATGCTTCCTGACCTTGAACATAGGACTCCAGGTTCTTCAGCTTTGGGACTCAGACTGGCTTTCTGGCTCCTCAGCTTGTAGACAGCCTACTGTGGGACCTTGTGATCACGTGAGTTAATACTACTTAAACTCCATATACATGTAATATAGGAGATATATATATCCTATTAGTTCTGTCACTCTAGAGGACCCAATACATGAGTGCTTCTAGTACCAAGTGAGTCCTTTTTATAGACTTCCTTATGTTAACCCTAAAAATGACAAAGAACTAGGCATACAAAAAGGGTGAAAATATGTAGCATTTTAAAACAACACTTATACACACCTTAGAGAAAGTTTGATGACAAAATGGAAAAGCTTTGCCTTGGTGCTTTTTCTGTGAGCTTACACTTGGAGTTGAAGCATGACACCTCCTTACCGATTGTGCATTTGGATAGGTAGAATTGGCTACCCAAGAACAGGGAGAAACTTTAGTATTATGACCATTGTTTTCAATTCTAAACACCTCATTGATAGACCCCCATATAGATAAGAACAATAATTGGCAAATTTATTATTTTAATAGCATCCCTTCTATCTGTAGTGGGGGGTAAAACTCAACATCCTTAGTATTCCACATGTTAAAAATTACTGGCCGTAATGATTGTAATTTACTCCTAAATACAAAGTTATTGATTACTGTGTTTCAGCATGTGTTTTTCCAAAGAAGTTTATTTTGCAGAGATGATGACCAGCTGCTAGCTGTATTTTAAGTCTAGTCTTTAGCCAATTTTTTAATCAGGGTCTATTGGAAATGTGGAAATGAGGCCAAGTTTCTCTGTGATGTCTTTGGTTCTTCATCCTTTCTCTTCCTGTAAGGGGCTTCAATATCACAACCATTACCCTTCTGCAACTCTTTCTTATCTCTACCTTTAGGAAAGGGTCAGATAGGCATTATTGGTTGGTCATTTAAGTCTATATGCTACCTTTTGCATATTTGCATATAAAGCATTTTCAAGAAGCAGTTGTTTCAGCATACATTATTTAACCAACTATGAGGCAGCAGATGCTGTTTCTTATGATTTTGTAATAATATCAGGTTACAGCACATAAATCCTACCTTCAACAGGTTAAAAATCTAATCAGGCAGGGGAACATAGCGAGGCCCGTATCTTTAAAAAAATATGATTTCTCTGATAAAGGAATTTCAGACATCAATTACCAGCTAACTTGGGAGTGAGAACAATGTTCGTTCTCTCTGCAAATTACTTGGCATGGATAGTTGGCTTTTAGAGTGAATGAGACTATTGTTCAGAGAATATAACACAACGGAAGATAAGGGGTTTTTGGAACAACATGTCAGAATTTGATCTTAGTTTGCTATTTACTAGCTGCATGACTTGAAAAAAATAGTTAATTACTCCAAATATCAAATTTTTAATCTAGAAAATGAAGATGAAAATTACATCTCATAAAAATTTTTAGAGGATAATAAATTCAATAATTAATATAAAATGAGTTTAAAAATAAGAGGAAGAAATGACATGGGGTCAATTACTATACAAAGATTACGAATATACGGTTTGACAGAAGAAATAAAATCCACAGCTTAATAGATCAGTAGGATGGCTATAGTTTATAAAAATCTACAGCATATTTCAAAATAGTTAGAAGAGAACAATTCTGATGTTTCTAGCATAAAGAAAATATAAACATTTAAGGTGATGAATATCCCAATTACACTGATTTGATCTTGGCAAATTGTATGACTGATGTATTAAATTATCATCTTACCCCAAATATATACATCTGTTATATATCAACATAAACAAAAAGTGAAAAAATAAGAAAGTTCCAACATATTACAACAATTATAATTCTTCTTCTCTAAGAATCTTCCTGAGAATAATATTAGTGAAAATGTGGTACGAGAAGTATATAAATACTTTCAGTGTATTGCTATTAAATACACTGTGTTGAAATTTGAAGACTGAAAATTACCATAGAAAAGCTCACATCTAATTAAGTTTATATCAATGTCGCTAGCTATTCTCTGAATTGCATTAAATCCTTTCAGTGATCGTGCTTTACTGATTAACTTCTCTTTCTCCCATATTTCTTTCTTTTCTCTTAACCTTCTTAACAATATATTTAAAATATTTAGACTGTTTAAGTCTTCCCCATCTTATATCTTAAAAAATTCTTTTACACAACTCTGACCTTTAGGTTTCGTTTTTTCTCTGTCTCCTTCTCCTTATAGGCAAACTTCTTAAAATAATTACCCATATTTATTGCTTAAGTTTTTCACCACCTATTCTTCCTCTGCCATTGATCAAAAATTTGATGTCAATCTTTGCTATTCCCATGGCCTCCAAAACCTTCTACATAATGATGGTGACCAAATCTCCAAATCAATTTTGTTTCACCACCAGGCTGAGAGCTCATGGCAACTGAAAAAAAAAATGCATTAACTCCCTTCTCTGCTACACCATACTATTCTTCCATACTATTCTTTCTCTTTATTTTAGTTAATAGGTACACCTGATGACCAAAGAGTTTCTCAATCCAAAAAGTCTCATTCTTCACTTCTCCTTCTTCTTCACCCTGTATTCAAATTTCACTCATATTGTTCCAAGTCTCTCTCTCTCTCTCTCTGATTCTCTGTGTTTTCCTTTGCATACTCTACCCTGCTTAACACCCTTGTCACTTAGTTTCCCCTCACCACCTGCCCTGCTCCCTGGGTCTTCATAAAGAGCAGATTTGTTTCCTGCTTTACCATCACTAGAGTTCAGTCTTGCCATTTTCTATCTGTAACTCTCCACCTTGCACCCAAACTGTTCCTTGTCTCATTAAATGATATTCTATTTCAGACAAATGCCCTAACATCATTGATCTCACACATCTACTCTATTAGCAAGTCCTTTCAGTTCCACATTTGAAGAATTTATTGAGACTAGGTACTGATCCCTAAGCCCACTACTATCATTCCAGTCTATTTCTTGTCAGGACACCTATAAGAGCTCCTCACAGGGCTCCCTGCTTCCATTGTTGTCTCTCCAGCAGTTCAAAGGCCAATCTTCTAAAAACCATAAGTCAGGTTATTTCACATCCTTAGGGGAAAAGAAGCCAATGGCTTTCCTAGTTGTTTATAGTGTTCTGTGGAACTTCCCAATGTGCTCTTCCATACATCATTTACAGCCTTTCCAATCATACTCCCCATGGCTTACTCTGTTGTAACCACACCAGCTACCTTCTGTTTCTTGAACAAATCAAGATTGTTCCTGCCTCAGGCAGTTCCCTGTGTGTAGAATTTTCTTGCCTAACATCATCTCCTCACTCTTTCCAGTAATTCATACAGTTAAAAATCACCTTCTGTACAGGTCTTCTTGTACTATCTTATAGAATGGACTTCCCATACCAACCTAACCATCTCTTTCAACTTTCTGTCCCCTTACCATGCTGTACCTCCCTCACAGCACTTTTTAGCTCTTGAAACTTGACATTCATTTTGTACATGTTTATTTTATTGTCTCTCTGAGTGTGAGCTCCACGGAGCGATGAATGTGTCCATCTTACGTAGCACTCTATCGATTCTCAGTACAGAGCCAATGTATTGGCACATGGTATTTAATCAGCAAACATGGTATTACACATGGTATTTAATCCATAAAATTTTCAAAGAATAGATGTTGATTTATTTAATCTGTGAGACTCTAAGCAAGTAATTTATTCTCTATTTATCTTGGATCCATCTCCTGTAAAATAACAACACTGGAACCAAGGATCTTGGGGCAGCCTTCCAGCTCTAAATCTCCATCTTCCAGGACTCTGTGGCAATCTTTTTTCCAAATAGGTACCACTGTTATGGTCAAAGGCAGATAGCACAGATTCTTTAGAGGAGGTCATGTATACAGCCCCTGAAGCAAGAGGTTCCTGGAAGTCATGCTATCTCTCCATTGAACTCATCAACATAGAAAAGGTTTTTACTGTTGCTGTTTGGTATAGAACAGATTCTTTTACTTAAAAAGTGGAGGTCCTCAGGGGTCCCTCCTCTTTGCCACCCTCTTATACCCCAGTGCAACCCCAAAAACATCTCTTACAGACCTTTCTGACTCTGAGGAGCACAGCTTGAAAATTAATGGTCTAGAGAAACATTAACATTGTGTTGGAAATCTTACTCTAATAAACCTGGTTCACAATCTTTCAAGGGCAGAGTAGAGTAACTGATCGGAAGGGCTCCTGGGAATCGGGAAAAAGAGTTGGACTGACTGTTTTGGAGTTATCTGTATGGTGTGTGTGGTGTGTGTGTGTGTGTGTGTGTGTTGGTGATGGTAAACATTAATTCTTATTAGTTAAAAAAATACAAAATAGCAAAAGATTGACTACCTTAGATAGCACATATAGCTCCATTTGGAGTAATTATCCGCATTACTGATTAAACATTTTAGACAACACAATTAAAATGAAGTGCTTATGTACTGGGCCTTTGCTTCCTAAAATTCACCAATTATTCTAACTTGTGTTTCATATTTTAGTTTTAAACTACATTTTACCTCTGCTTTTTTCCTATAACTTATGGAATTAATAACCAAAAAATAAAATAACCAAAAAATAACAGAAAATTCAATATGCATTTTTTATTAATTAAAACTAAAGAGGTTTTGACATCTAGAATTTTACAAAGGGTGGGCTTAGAGACTTACGTAAATAAAAACAAACTAAAACAATGGCAAATTTTGTCAAAACAATAAAAAGAAGGTTGTTAAGGCAAAACTCGTAGTTGTTGTAACAGAATATATATCACTTCTGCAATAATTTTATAGAAAATTTTCACAAGAACTAAATAATGGTGCCATATGTCTTTAAATCTATGATCTAGTGCTTTTAATTTTGAAATACTAGTGAGCTCAATTTTTGTCTATATGTCAAACCTGTGAATATTTCTTTTTTTATTTCTGTTTATATTTATAAACTGCATCCTAAGAGATTCAAAGGTTAATGTGTTACTCAGTATGAAAATGTGGAATGTATTTTTAGTGATACTTGATGCACAAACATGAAGAATTCTCCCAATAATATAGATTACACTACAGCAGATTGCACCATTATTTATAGGACAACTGTCTGAGAAGCAAAATAAACTCTTAAAGTTGCCACCAGCATAATTTGAGATATGCTAAAGTGCACAATTCTGTTGATAGATAGATAGATAGATAGATAGATAGATAGATACATAGATACATAGATACATAGATACATAGATATAGATGAGTTGTAATTGTATTTACAGCAAGCACCTTAAGTGACAATGGCCACATAGATTATTGAATTTGCAAGCATGTGTTAGCTTTTCTTGGGGATACAAGATCAATGAGTTATACTGGCTGGCCTTTATTATGCATGTTTTCTAATATACCTTCATAATGAAGTGAAAAAGGATGTCTTCATGGTATTTGTCACTGATTAAAATCTCTTAAGCAATTTTGTAGCTTTAAATAACGTCTTCTTAATATGTGTGTGCGCATACACGTATGTATGTATACAATGACCAGCCTCTTATATCTGAGATTTTAACTTTGTATGTTCTCATAAAGCATTTCACTAAACATATATATTTAATAGTCATGTACATCAAATATAATGCAAATTCAGTTGTGAAATGTATGTTTATTGACTATGATCTAAAGCTTCTTTTAGTAGCAATAGGTAAAATAAAAGCAAAAAAGAAAATCCAAGGACTGGAAAGTGGGGAGGTGCTTTGGTAAAGAAGTGTGAATACTCACAGCATAGATTCTCCATGGCTATTGCTGAAGGCACAATCTCTCTTGCTGAGAAATTGATGCATCTTCCAAAAACTGGAAGTGTGTCCTCCTCCCACTGTTACAGGATATGCTCATCTGGTTGGTATACAATTTTAGAACAAGAGTCCCATGATCTACTCTACGAAGAAACATGTGGCAACACAAATTTCTTACAAAAACCAGTCGTGACATTATCATAAACTCCCAATGCATAGCTCTGGGCCCATTTGGTGAGTTATTGGAAAAGAATAACTGCTCCAAGTAGTTAGTGTCACAAGATGCCCTTGCAAGACTTTTAATTTTATCAAAGAAGAGCAATCAGTTTCTTTTCAATTCACTTAAGTCTGGATACTATTTGAAACACTAAAGCAATGCTGCTATATAATTTTCCAAGTTACGTGCTCCTTTTAGTGCTATATGATTTTCCAAGTTATATCTTCACGGTGCTTGATTTAAGCAATCCCTATTGTTGGACTGCTACATTGCTTTTCTTTGTGTGTATTAATTTTTGCTTATGTGGCAGAGATTTATTAAACATATTTGTATAAACTTTCAGTACAAATATCTATTTACCTGTGAGAATTCTAGGATTAAAGAGTATGAACTCTTAAAATATGTATATGTTCATTATTTTCTTTCTTCCCTACAGGATGGACCAATTTCCATTTAACCATCAGTAGGTAAGAGTGCTTGTCTCAATGTCTCAAGAATTTATCTAATAAATCTTAGCCAACTTGATATGTCCAAAAGGGTATCTCAGTATTGCTTGATTTTAATTACTTCACTTAATAACCAGGTAGTGCATTTTCCATATATTGATTTATTTATAGTGATCTTTTAAATTATTAAGCCGGCACGGTGGCTCAAGCCTGTAATCCCAGCACTTTGGGAGGCCGAGACGGGCGGATCACGAGGTCAGGAGATCGAGACCATCCTGGCTAACACGGTGAAACCCCGTCTCTACTAAAAAATACAAAAAACTAAGCTGGGCGAGGTGGCGCGCCCTGTATCCCAGCTACTCTACTCGGGAGGCTGAGGCAGGGAACGGCGTAAACCCGGGAGCGGAGCTTGCAGTGACTGAGATCCGCCACTGTACTCCAGCCTGGGCGACAGAGCCAGACCTCCGTCTCAAAAAAAAAAAAAAAAAAAAAAAAAAAAAAAAATATATTAGTATATCCGGTTTTCTATTTTCCTTCTAATCTTTATGATGTCTTTAGATGTGTGTTACTTTAAGTGTAGAAATTTAATCTATTTACATTAAGAGAAATTGGACATCTTATCTTATCAATAAAGTTTAGAGATCTAATTTTAAAATGGACAACAGCAAAAAATCAGGAGAGTGCTCTCACAGGTTTGTGCTGAATGGTGGTAACGTTATGGGACAGCCCAACCAATCCTGTGTGCAAGGATGCCCATACTTGGTTCATCGGTCCAATTAATCACTGATGCTTTCATCAGCTTAAAAAAAAAGGGAAGGAAAAAGCCGAAGCTTTCTCCATGAGGCCATCTCCCCGTTTTCTTTAGTTGTGTCAATACCACAGGCACTTGCTCACTTAAACTTATTTGAAGGACTTCAGTCGTGTGTGTGGTAGTAAAGCGGAGCAAGTGAACTAGACTGTCCTATCAGCCCACTGGCATTTTAAAATCAATTATTGCCACGGTGAGTCATATAAAACGTCAGCCCCACATAATATAATATAATATAATATTACCTGAGCTGTGCTCAGGTAATAATCAGATGATTTCCAATTACTGCTAAGCGCCAAGATTTGTCTAATTTACCTCACACTTACCTGATGGGTCCCAAAGCACCACCGCATGCCAGGGAGATGGGTCTGCAAAAGGCTGCAAATCTGGTTGTATGCCGGGTTAGGACAATCCCTCTTGGTGGTCTTTCTATTAGATCCAGATCCTAAAGCTAGGGGTTCACTCCTAACATGGTGAATTAATTCCTCTTTGTTGCCTTTTATGCTAGAAAAGTTTGTTTATGAAGATAGCAGTTCACTCCCACAGTTTTACTTAACTTTCAGACTTGGGAGGAAAGGCATTGGATATCTGGGACCCTTCCTTCCCAGAATGCACATGGCTCCTTATACTCCCCCAAATTCTTCTTTTTCAGGGGCTAGAGAAACTTTCCATAAGCCAAACTCACATTACTACACAATTTCTCCAACACAAGAAGTTTCTGCTTGTCTTAAAATTTTATAACCAAGAAACACAACCGAAGTAACACTTTCTAGAACATAGAAAATTTCTTTCTTGTTGATTTTTGGCAGCTTATTTTATTAAAAGTAAAACAGCCACAAGATTTACCTTACTCATTATTCTGATTAGAATGTCTTAAATTTGAAAGACAATTTTAAGATTATTTTACAATGTATTATATGTTTTGACATTAATGTTATATAATTTATTAGATGGAAAATATTAAAGGAAACATAATTGTATATTCAGAACACCTTATCTACTTCCTTCTTTCATTCTCTTCAGTTACGGTAATTCTTCTGAGCATCATTTGAGATGGTTCTATTTGCTCTGTTCTTACAGAGGCAGTTCATTGTCAGAGCGTGAATGCAAACTCCTTTCCTCTCTCTTGTAATGGCTTGACCTGAGGAGTTTCAGGTGGCTGAAATCCGGTCTGATTTAAGCTGGGTCATTATTTCTTCTGTTCTTGAGCCACAATGTTACCAAACCAGCAAAAAAGCACAAAATAACCAAATGGTGATTTCTAAATTCATTCAAGGAAAGTTTATGAAAAATTTACTGAATACCAGGTGCTGTGCAAAGTTCTAAACTGGCAGTGATGCAAAATGCAGGTAAAATGCTGTGTCCTCCAAAAACTGACAGTGCTTAAGGAGTAACAGTCGGCTAAATGAAAATAGGAAGAAAATTGCTAAAGAAACTCTAATTGTGGTTTGGTCTTTAATGTGTATGTGGTTTTAAACATAGTTTTTACCTCTCTGGGTTTCAGTTTCTATATGTAAAAACTGTGGAATACATTTTCAAATTTTAAAATTCTATGAATTTTTTACAGGGTAGCTGACAATTTTTACATTTTGGTGAATGGAACTTTCAAATGAAAATTATAGTTAAGATTAAAAAATTTGAAAGCTTTGGTTTGACTGTCTCTTTTAATTACTGTTACTGCTTCACTTATTCACAACTATGTAAGTTCTCATTGTCTGGTTTTTTAATATTGTGGTAAAAATATACATGACACCAAATTTGTCATTTTGACCATATCTAAGTGTACAATTTAGTATAATTATATTCACAATGTTGTGCAAACATCACCTCTATTTCCAAAACGTTTTCATCACTCCAAATAGAAACTCTGGGGTCATTAAGCAATAACTCCCCGTTATTTCCTCCCCTGATCCTTGGTAACCTCTAATCTAACTTCTATCTCTATACATTTGCTTATTCTTAATATCTAATATAAATGAAATCATACAATATTTTTTCTTTTGCAGCTGATTAAATCACTAGGCATGTTTTCAAGTTTCATCCATGTTGAAACATGTATTAGAAATTAATTTCATTATATGACTGAATAATATTTCACTATATGGATATGTATACACATGCCTGCACACACCCACACTTTTTAAAATCCATTTAACTGTTGATGGACACCTACAATATTTCCATCTCTTGGCTATTTATTGTGGATAACGCTGAAAGGGACATTGCTGTACAAGTATCTGTTTGAGTCCCTGCTTCCAATTGCTTTGGGTATATGCCTGGTAGAATTCTGAACCATTCAGTAATTCTATATTTAGCCCACTGAGAAGCCATTAAACTCCTTTCAATAGTGGCTACACCATTTTATATTCCCACCAGCAGTTCACATGGGTTTCCATTCCTGCACATCTTGGATATTTGTTATTTTCCATTTTTTGGATAATAGCCATCCTAATGAGTGTAGAGGAGTATCTCATTATGGTTTTGATTTGCATTTTCCTCATTATTAGTGATGTTAATAAACTTTTCATGTGCTTGTTAGCAAGCAATTGGTACATCTTCTTCGGAGAAATGTCTATTTAAGTATTTTGCCCATTTTTAAAGCTGGGTTTGTTGTTGTTGTTGTTGAGTTAGAAGTTCTTTGTATGTTCTGGATATCAAACTCTTGTTAGATATGTGATTCGCAAGTACTTTCTACCATTCTGTGGATTTGCTTCTCACTTTCTTGATCATATCCTATGATGCATAAAACTTTGTAATTTTAATGAGGTCTAATTTTTCTATTTTTTGCTCGCTTGTTTCATTTTATTGCTCATGATTTTGATGCTGTATACAGGAATCCATTGTGAACTCACAGTTATGAAGATTTATACCTATGTTTCCTTGTAGAGTTTTAGGATTTTAGCTGTTATATTGAGGTCATTGATTCATACTGGATTAATTTTAGTATATGGCATGAGGCAGGGGCCCAAATCCACACTTTTGCATATGAAAATCCAGTTGTTGCAAAATCATTTCTCCCATTCTTTGCAGATTAGCCCTAAGCTTGAGTACTTCTTCAACACTTGTTTGTACTGAGCTGTACTAAGCCAAGAAATATGCCGTAGGTGAAAGCACAGGGTCTTCTCAAGTCTGTTATGGGAATAAGTATGGCTTCTAAATTCCCTACACTACATATGTATTTTTGAATGTCCTGTTTTCCCAAAAAAATTGCCCCCGGCATTATTCCCTGGCATGGACCATTTATTGTGTATCTCAGCCATAATCTTTTGCCCCAGGTGACTGTGGGCTGTTCATTAGCTTTATAATACTTTTCTACACTGAGTTCAGTGTTAAATGAAATGAAGATAAGGACCTTGCATCAGTAGTTCTGGTAGCCCCTAGACAAGTGATAAAGATATAACCAATTATTTGTGAATAATATCCACTTTACTCCCTCCAGAACCTGGGACCAGGATCCCACCTTGGAAACACAGGGCACTAAGTCAATAAAGGAGTGGGACAAGGCCAATACAAAGTTTTCCTATATGTAAGTTGCTTTATTTTTGACTTTTAACTGAGCTTAAAATCTCAGCTGAAGTTTGAGTAGAGATTATTAACCCAAATGGAGGGCTGATTAAAAAAATTTTTTTTCATTATATAACCTCATCTTAGTTCCTATTTTTATTTTTTCAAGGGCTTTTAAAATACTTACATATCTTTATCTAATTTATTTTCTATCTACTGGAAAGTGTCTGTAGCCCTGAATTCTTGAAATAGACATTTTTCAGAGCCAAGAACTTTCTGGATGATTTTTGGGTCTGCAGTTACTTAAATAATAAGTTGCTACTCATTTATATATTTTTCTCCGATGTATTTATCTCCTTTTCAGACCAAATTAAAGAGAGTAAAACAATAACTAAGCTAATAGATGAATAATTAACAATGATATTTCATGTCCAATGTCTGCTAACCTGTGATCATTCTAAGTAGTCGGCAGAAGGTTTGCCAGTTACAGTGGTTTATTTTAAAAAGCGTCAGTTTTGTCATATTTGTTATATTTTGTGGCAAATAGGCAGTCAGAACATTGGTGTTTGTGGATTATGGATGAATTCTATAAGCGATACTATTCATTTTCATATTTCTAGCCTACACCTATTCCTACATGTTATATATATATACACACACATATATATACTACTTTAACTAATCTTAATATTAACTAAAAATTAGCCTGTATTCTATTTGCTATTGTTAAGTGAAGTGTTTCTTTCTTGTTTTCTCCAAAAAGTTCTAATTTGCATAAATTTCCAGGACAACATTGTTCTTTACTTACAAATGCCTATATTTCTATTATTTCTGATATGCCCTCAAGGGTTTTAATTGATGAAATAAGTCTTTTTCTTAATGTCATTTACTATGTTGACTTTTTTCCAATATTTCTGCCATTCATTAGAATTTTATTCTACTTATTCCCAGAAAAAATTTTACACTTCACAGGCTTAAATGACATACATGGATGGGCTCTATAATGCTTTGGAATGCTCTGGTTAGCTACATTTTTAGAAGTTTTGCTCACTAAAAAGTGGCATGAGAATTTAAAAGTTATATTCTTAGCTTTAAAAAGTAAGTCAAAATTCTTTCAGACACATGGTCCATTTCTAATACTCAGGACAGATCAGGAGGGGGTGGTAGGCAGAAACTGGCAGGAGATTATTCATTGGTGTAGAACAGTTGATGAGATCCTGATTTACCCACAGAAGATGACAGACTGAAAGGTAGCTAATAACATCACTGGAGCTGGAAACTGAGACATGATTTAACAAATGATTGACACATCAGGGCAAGGAAAGAGTCTACCTTTTAACTGGGGTTCTAACCAGGGTTCTCATCCTAAAGCTTAAATAAATTAGATATAAGAGAAACCTCCTTTACTAAACAAAACCCGGAGATCCAACATTTCAGCATCGTAAGAAGAAGCTGGAGGAGGATGAGGTCAGTTCACTAATCTGCTCTGATTCTGTTTCTCCTTGATATTTTTCCCATTTGGTTCCCTCACTCGGATTAACACTGTTACCTTCACACTGAGTTATTCCATTTTCATGCTCTGGTACAGTACAGAAAGAAATGCTGTCTCATGGGTTTTCAAAGCACAACTAAATGGCTTTAATATTAACAAATAAGACTATAAAGAAAACAAATATATGGGCTCTAACTTGCCACGTGTAGGTTTATTAATACCTCGCTATAATGAAGGCTATTCCAATGTGTACACGTTTTATCCATCTCTGTCTCCAGTGTCAGAGCTGGGATACAGCTTCACCATCACCTTGTCTGCATTTCCTGCTTTCCCATTCCCAGGTTGCGTTCATGTCAAAGTTGCCAACATACCTCCAGCGAAAAAGAATTTAATGCAACTGGTAATGCTAACCCTTCTACTCACTATTAACCCAAATGTTTACATTGCATATTTTAGCCTTCCATAATTTTCACTTTGTGTATTTAAATGAGCATGTACAAATGTTTAGCTCTCAATTGTGAATTTTCTCACTTAAAAATCACGAGGCTATGCAGAAAGATACAATTCCTTATTCTTTTCCCCTCTCTTTATTTTATATTCTTTAAGTCTGATTTAATCTGTAAGTCTGATTTAACTCCTGAAGTCTGATTCAGACATTGCCATACCCAGTCTTCCCATTATTTATGGCTTCTTGCTGAGGACACTGTCTCTTTACATTTTGTTCATTTTCTTTCAGAGATTCTATGAGATTAATTTGAAATATTTTTCTTGGAAGCATTTTTGAAGTTGTTTTTCTCTGTAGTTTTGAATGAATCATCTGATTTCTGCTCTTTATTTAAACATCATTTCAAAATTTAATCTCCTTCATAAGACTAAATAACATTCTGTGTGATAGCAGACATTTTCTGCACAGAATTACAAAAGGGAAACAAAGTATTGTTATAGTAACTTGGACTTTTAATCATGTTTATTTGTATGTTTGTGAACCTCCTATTTCACTGCAAACCACAGTCCAACATTCTGTGTAAACTTCTTATTCATTAGTTTAACATTTAATTATTTTAATGTGAATTAAATTATTCAAAAATTTTTATTAGATGCCCACAGTGGGCCAGGCCCTTTTCACGCACTTGGCGTTTGTTATACAACAGACAGAGGCCTTGTTTTTATTTTTTGTGGCAGGTGGTGAAGGAGAACAACAAATTTAAGATATACATTATATTATGCCAGAGTATATCTGTATATTAACGTTATATGTAATAAGAGTCTATGTGGAAAATAAAATGGGCCAGTAAAGCAGGGCAGTAGACAAATCAAGTGCTAGGGTGGAATGGGCATATTAAAATATTAAATGTTACCACCATAGACCTCTCAAGAAGAAAACATTTAAGTCAAGATTTCAAGGAGCAAGAAAATTAGCCAAATGGATATCAAGGAGAAATCCTTCCAGCTATCCAGCTATAAAAAACAGGCCAAGCAAGTATTCTATTATTTCATAAGAAATCACCACAAACAGTAAGTTAAAACAATACCCATTTCTTTTCTCACACTTGTGTAGCTCAGAGGTCTGGGTAGAAGTGACTGGGTTCTCTGTTTAGAGTTTCACCAGGCCAAAAGCAAGGTTTTCGGCAGAATAGGCTATCTGGAGGACCTGGGGAAGAATCTACTTCCCAGCTAATTCAGGTCATCGGTAAAATTCAGTTTCTAATACATTGGAGGCCAGCAGGGGATCACAATCAGCTCCCAGAAATTACTCTCAGTTCTTCCAGGCAGCCCATTCCATTCCAGTGGCAGAGAACCTTCCCTGTGACAAACCCCTCTCATGCTTTAGATCTCCCTGGCTTCCTCTTCTGCTACCATCCAGAGAAGACTCTCTACCTTTAAAGAGCTCCTGCAGTAAGGTTAGATCCACTTATAGAGTCTTCTTTTTAATTAATTCAAAGTCAACTGATGATTAGCCTCAATTACATCGCCAAGATCCATTTATTCCAGGTAATGACACATATTCATGGATGTGATCTCATCATAATCAGTCCTGGGATCAGGGTGAGATATTTTGGGAAGGCATTTTATAAGTCTGCCTACCACAGGCCCTAAGGCAATGATATTCTAGGAACATCAAGAAGACACAGGTAGCTGGAGAGGAGTGTACGAGGGGGTTCCGAGAGGTAATAAGCAACCCTTATGCAGGGTCTGCAAGGTGTGGGGAAGAGTTCATGGAGGTAATGGAAGATGCTCACATGCGGTGCCGTAGGTTATCTTAAGAACTTTGAATGTTACGTGGAGTGAAATATGGAGCCACAACAGGATTTAGGACAGAGTTTTTAAATACTTTTCTTACTTGAGGATAAACCATTGCACCGAAGAACAAAGTATATATATTTTTCTTCTAAATGCTGTGGAATATTTTATAATAATAAGTAGTTTTTAATTCTTTTAATTTATTTTTATATTAGCATTAGAAATAAACATTTAAACATTTCTTTCCTGAAATGGAACCATCAGAGAATTTTTTTAAAAAATTAGGTTCCAATGGAAGCAGATGATCATTTATAAAGCAAATACATTTGACACATTTGGTACTCAAGAGAAATCTTTTCAGACTTCATGATCAAATTCTGTCAAATTTTCTAGTCATTTCCTTTATAATTTGTTTTCATAGTTGCTTTTTATTTGATTAAATGTTAGTAACAATTCTGATGAAAATTGCAATGATCATGACAGCATTCGCGAGTGCTTACTAAATTCCTGCACTCGGCAGACATTTTTCTCAGTGCTTTACTTCTTTAATTCATCAGTCATCACAAAAATCCCTAGAGGTAGCAACTGTAATTTTTTCCATTTTACACATGAGGATAGTGGGGCATGGAGAGCTTAAGAAATCTGCTCTGGAAATGTTAATTTGTTTCACTGTTGTAACTATTTTACCATATACATGTACCACATAACATCATGTTCTATACCTTAAATACACACAACAAAATTTTATTTTTAATATAATACTAATCATAAATCTATTCTGGGTCTCACAGCTACTGTGACACACTAAGTGTGATGAACATGCAACATCACATTTAAACCTTACAACTCTTCACACATACTATATGAGAAAGGTACTATGATCATTATTATTTTTAAACAACAACAAAAACACACTAAACTATATGGTTGTTAGGTAGCTTTTTCACACTCATATGGTTAAGTGGCAGAGTCTGACTTGAGTTTATGCTCTCTGGCTCTAAGGCCTGGGATCAATAACCCCTGTTAACATTTCTTGTCTTGAGAACACAGAAGTCTGGGCTGAGCCCACCTTGAACTAAGGGGCGGGTCAGCAAACTTTTTATAAAAAGGACCAGATGGAAAAAAGACACTATGGGGTGGAGCAAGATGGCCGCATAGGAACAACTCCAGTCTCCAGCTCCCAGCACGAGCGACACAGAAGACAGGTGATTTCTGCATTTTCAACTGAGGTACTGGGTTCTTCTCATTAGGGAGTGCCGGACAATCAGTGCTGGTCAGCTGCTGCAGCCCGACCAGTGAGAGCTGAAGCAGGGCGAGGCATCGCCTCACCTGGGAAGTGCAAAGGGGAAGGGAATCCCTTTTCCTAGCCAGGAGAACTGAGATACACAACACCTGGAAAATCGGGTAACTCCCACCCCAATACTGCGCTTTACCAAGGGTCTTAGCAAACGGGCACACCCGGAGATTATATCCCACACCTGGCCGGAAGGGTCCACCACCCACGGAGTCTCCCTCATTGCTAGTACAGCAGTCTGCGATCTAACAGCAAGGCAGCAGAGAGGCTGGGGGAGGGGCGCCCACCATTGCTGAGGCTTAAGTATGTAAACAAAGCCACTGGGAAGCTCAAACTGGGTGGAACTCACAGCAGCTTAAGGAGGCCTGCCTGTCTCTGTAGACTCCGCCTCTGGGGACAGGGCACAGCTAAACAACAACAACAAAAACAACAACAAAAAGCAGCAGAAACCTCTACAGATGCAAACGACTCTGACAGCTTTGAAGAGAGCAGTGGATCTCCCAACATGGAGGTTGAGATCTGAGAATGGACAGACTCCCTGCTCAAGTGGGTCCCTGACCCCTGAGTAGCCTAACTAGGAGACATCCCCCACTAGGGGCAGACCGACACCCCACACCTCACACGGTGGAGTACACCCCTGAGAGGAAGCTTCCAAAGCAAGAATCAGACAGGTACACTCGCTGTTCAGCAATATTCTATCTTCTGTAGCCTCTGCTGCTGATACCCAGGCAAACAGGGTCTGGAGTGGACCTCAAGCAACCCAAATGTTCCCCCATCAGTGACAGACTGGATTAAGGAAATGTGGGCACGTATTACACCATGGAAATACTAATGCAGCCATAAAAAAGGATTGAGTTTTG